TGTGTGTGTGTGTGTGTGTGTGTGTGTGTGTGTGTGTGTGTGTGTGTGTTTGTTTGAGAGAGTCTCACTCTATTGCCCAGGCCGGAGTGAAGTGGTATGCTCTCAGCTCACTGTAACCTCCACCTCCCAGGCTCAGGCAATTTTCCTGCTTTAGCCTCCCAAGCACCTGGGATTACAGGAGCCCACTACCATGCCCAGCTAAGTTTTGTATTTTTAGTAGAGATGGGGTTTCACCATGTTGGCCAGGCTGGTCTCCAACCCCCGACCTCAGGTGATCCATGCCTCCCAAAGTGCTGGGATTATAGGCATGAGCCACCTCGCCTGGCCCATATAGGTGTTATAATTATCATTACTTTTGCTAAAACATTTGAAAGTAAATTATAGACATCATGACCTTTTACTCATAAATACTTCAGCATATATGGACATTAGCTTATATAACTCCAATACAATAATTAAATTCAGGAAACAAAGCATTGACATATTATCTAAGATGTAGTCTATCTTTAAATTTCACCAATTGCCCCAGTAATGTCTTTTATTTTTTTGGGGGGGACAAAGTCTCTCTCTGTCCCCCAGGCTGGAGTGCAGTAGCGTGATCTCAGCTCACTGTAGCCTCTGCCTCTCAGGTTCAAGGGATTCTTGTTCCTCAGCCTCCTGAGTAGCTGGGATTACAGGCATGTGCCATCACACTTGGCTAATTTTTGTATTTTTTAGTATAGATGGGGCCAGGCTGGTCTTGAACCTGGCCTCAAGGGACCTGCCCGCCTCTGCCTCCCAAAGCGCTGGGATTTGCCACCAATCCTGGACACAATGTCTTTTTTTTCCTCTTTGGGCTTCAATCATTAATGACCTCACATGATGTTTAGTTGTCCTGTTCTCTTCATCTGGAAGAGTTTCTCAGCTTTTTGTTGTCATGCATGGCATTAATATTTTTGAAGTGTGTGGGACCGGTTTTGTAGAAATGTCCCTCAATTTGTATTTGTCTGATGGCGTTTCCTCATGGTTGGGTTCAGGTTATGCATTTGGGGCAGGAATGTCACAGAAATAATGTTGGGTCCGTTTTGGTGCCTTTTGTCAGGAGGTACATGATGGGTATGTTAATTCCAGCTCCTTGGCTAAGCAGGAGACTGCTAAGTTTCTCCATTGTAACGTTGCCATTGGAATTAACAAGGAGACTCAAGTTTTCAAGAAGAAAGTCCAAGTTTGGGCAAGTTTATTTCACAAGCACACTTTAAGGGGTTGGTGGCATGCTTAGCCTTGGCGTGATCTCGGGCTGGGGTTTTTGAAAATGGAGTTCTGGCTTTGAGCTTTGCAGCACAGAGCAACTCTCTGTCTTTCCTCATGAGGACAAAGAATTCCGAATGAATGCCTGCCACGGGCGGGGAATGCCATGTGCTGTTTACCAGCCTCTGAATTGCCCTGTGGCGTCAGGCAGCCGCAAGTGCTTCCTAAGGCTGAAGGCGCCCAGCAGAGGCAATGCCATGGGCCACAGCAAATGTGTGGGGAGCATTTTGCTGAGGAGGGCGGTTTCATTTCCCTTTAAATGCCTCTGTTATTTTCCACCACAAGGTTGAGGCTTGGCCCTAACGGAAAAACTTCCCAGTAATGGGGCCAAGGATGGGAAAGGGTTACGAATGAAAAGACCTTCTCTTTGGACAGGGCGTTCTAGTCCATAGAGCGCTTTATCTCTTGAGATCTCACACTGAGTTCTCAGCTCCGCCCAGGCAATCTGGCAGCTCTGGCGTTTGCTGACCCTATCTTACAAACCAGAAAGGTGAAGCTCACAGAAGAGAAGCGACTGGTCTCAACTCAGAGAGTTGGGAAGAGGTGACCCAGCCAAAGTTGATCCAAGCTTTCTGATTATTATTCTTATTATTTTTTGTCTTCTCTGTGATGTCTGAAGAAGCTGATGATTTTTTTTTTGGGGAATTTTTTTTTTTTTGGGACTGAGTCTCTGTCGCCCAGGCTGTAGTGCAGTGGTGTGATCTCGGCTCACTGCAATCTTTGCCTCCTGGGTTCAGGCCGTTCTTTTGCTCCCTCCCGGGAGCGGGGGACCACCAGGTTGTCTAAGAAGGGGTGGACTGGCCCAGGTCGGAAATGGAGCAGGTCAAAACTCCTCTGCTGATCAGTAGTGGGATTGCGCCTGTGAACAGCCACTGCACTCCAGCTTGGGCAACATAGCGAGATCCGTCTCTTTAAAAACAAAACAAAACAAAACAATAAAACAAATTATAAACCCCAATTATTAAGTGCAAAGCCCCTTTCTTCAACGAACCTACCATCTAGCAGGGGAATAATAGTAATAATAACAGCTAACAGTTCTGCTGTTTCCTAGCTGTGGACCTTGGGCAAGTTATCAAACCTCTCTGTGCCTTAGTTTATTTGCTTTCTTTCTTTCCTTCCTATCTTCCTTCCTTCCTCGATCCCTCCCTCCTTCCATCCTTCCTTTCTTTTCTTTTCTTTCTTTTTTTTTTTTTTTTTAATATAGAGATGGGGTTTCACCATGTTGGTCAGGCTGGTCTTGAACTCCCAACCTCAGGTGATCCGCCCGCCTCGGCCTCCAAAGTGCTTGGATTACAGGGGTGAGCCACCACGCCCGGCCTCTTTTTTTTTTTTTTTAATGGCGTCTCACTCTGTTGCCCAGCCTGGAGTGCAGTGGTGTGATCTTGGCTCACTGCAACCACTGCCTCCCAGGTTCAAGCGATTCTCCTGCCTCAGTTTCCTGAGTAGCTGGGACTATAGGTGTGCACCACCATGTCCAGCTAATTTTTGTATTTTTAGTAGAGATGGGGTTTTGCCATTTTGCTAGTCTGGTCTCGAACTCCTGAACTCAGAGGC